GTGGGAGATTGCTCAAACTTATGAAAAAGTCTAGTGGACTGATATTTGCACCTATTTAGCCCTCCCAAAGTCACTTACCTGCCCTGTGTTACGGAACTGGAGTGAAAGTTGGGTCTTTTTCACTACTGAAACGGACGAAAAGGAAAAGTCGGGCTCTAAAAAACCGTGATTTGAGTTCAAATATTGCCAATTTCCTCACAGTATGAGAATGGTATAGTAGACAAATGTTTCTTTGACCAGGTTAAGTCTAATTTTTGGGAAAATTAGCAAAAATGACCCTTGAAATACGTATTTGTCATGAAATTACAAACACAAGATTTATCTCAAGTCAAAACCAGGTAAAATTAAGGCGTGCTCACTATCAAGTCCGCGCTTTACTTGTATGGGTCTACACAATACACGCGTTTAGTCTATTCATTTTCCTCTCGTACACAGAAGAAGAACGACGTTCGCAAGAAGCAATCCAAGATGACTGACGCAGCCTTGCTCCCGTTCACAAATCACCCAAGAAGAAGACCTCAGCAAAGCCTAAGGTGCCAGCTGCTCACCCGAAATATGTAGATATGATCAAGGCTGCAGTCGCTTCCTTGAAGGAAAGGGGCGGCTCCTCCAGACAAGCCATTTTGAAGTACGTCATGGCAAACTACAAAGTCGGCACAGACCTGAAAGCAGTTAACTCCAGAATAAAGAACGCTTTGAAAAACGGCGTCAAAGCTGGTACCCTGAAGCAGTCGAAAGGCACTGGGGCTGCCGGTTCCTTCAAACTCGGTGAAAGCAAAAGCGAGAAACCCAGCAAGGTGAAAAAAGTCGCCGCCAAGAAGCCTGCTGCCAAGAAAGCCTCTACACCAAAGAAGCCAAAAGCCAAGAAAACTACCACCAAGAAGACAGCTACACCCAAAAAGACCAAAGTCGCCGGTGCCAAGAAGACAGCTGCCAAACCTAAAAAAGCTGCTCCCAAGAAGGTGAAAACGCCCAAAAAGGTTAAAACTGTCAAACCCAAAAAGGCTTCACCAAAAAAAAAGACCGCTGCTAAAAAGGCCTAAGTTCAACATCTTCAGCTTAGACTTGGCCGAAAAACCTCCAACTAAACGGCCCTTTTCAGGGCCATCCAAATTCTCTTAAAAGAGTGAAAAAAGTCAGTTTCCATTAACAATCCACATTAAGTTGAGAAACTTGCAATGAAACAATAAACAAACCAAAAAACCCTACTATGAGAAA